TTGTACTCCGGTTGGGTTTACCTTTGTGGGTGACTCGGATGCACTATTTCTATGTGTGGGGTCAGCATTCGCACTTACCCCGATAAACAAGCTAAAAACAGACTTTTCCCTTTTTTCAAATTGTAAAAATCCTTTGTAAGTACCTCGAATATCATCCGTACTTATGGAATGTGAACATCTCGCTGAGTTTTGGTAATTTTTCATTCTGTGGGTTGGGGTTGTTTCGAGGCAAGCTAAACAAATTTTGATTTAAAATTTATAATTTCAAAAGAGTGTCAAAAGTTTAATAAAGAAACACAAACAAACTTTGATTTAAATTTTATAATTTCTTGGGCTGAATTAATATTTGCTAGAAGTAACTTTACATTATTTGTGGGAAATTAACAGAAAAGATCCACTTACTTTCTTCTTGGTTTTGTTTTGCATTGTCATAATGGAGAATAACACCTTTTCTACACAATTTATATTCGTATTATTATCCTCATCTTTGTTGTTGTTATCACAACGTTTCGGCTGTCATATGCTCCGACCTTCTTCAGGTATATATAGATCTGGGTAACATAAAGGGAATTCTGAACCGAACACTTTATTTAATTTACGAGGTAGACTGTTCTCGTTTCACTGCTCACGTCTAAGGATATCGTCTAGGTCTTATTTTATTTAGCATTGTTCAGTGATTATTTGCTTGTTTCCACTGAGTGCAAGTACACAATTGAGGGATTGAACTCACAGCCACGATGTCAACCAATTCACAAACCAACGCTTTTTCTCATCGTCCCGTATGACAATATGCTGTAGTAAACTTAGAGACTTAAACCTAACCTTGGCTTATGATTAGGTTGCAACTCCAAACAGCGTTTTCTATAAGTTTGTTATAGAATGTCATGTGCGTCTTCCATTTGAGGAAATAGAAAAACCTGCACAGAATAGGAGCTAGAGTGCCGGGAGAAATGTGCAGATCAACAGCAGCAGCGTCTTTGCCTGAAAGGTTGAAATGCATTGGAACAGAAAGACCGAGACGGCATGCATATCCTGAAAAAGTTTAAAGTTCTGTTTTGAATTTCTTTTTAGTTTAAGAATGTTCCGCTATTTATGAAATGTTCCAGTGATTGAAACACAATGAAAATCTATAAAAACTAAATTTGGTTAGTATGGAGGACTTGGAAAGACCTTCCATTCTATGAATCTTTCTTTTTCCTTTTTTTTTCAGAGTGTGTCCTTTCACTGTCATGTTGGGGAATAACAACTTTTCTGTTTACCAAAGTAGAACACTTTCAACGAAATGCTTCGTTTATCCGATCGTGTTGCTGGCGATAAACGTTTGTAAGGATGGTCCCTTCATGTTCCAGTAGCTCGTAATGGACGACACTTTCAATATTGCATCAGACGCAAAAGTAAGCACTTCTATGAATGGAGACTTGATTTTGGTGTTGGCACTGGTTTTTTTATTTTGTGATAATCACTGTCTTTTTTGTCTTCTGCTGTCATGCCAAATCCATTTTCATCAATTGTAACAATGTGATACAAAAACTGAGAAGTTGGCATTCCTTCTGCGGAGGGTGGAACGTTGTGTTCGATTCTTAACGGAAAGCTCACGAAGAACTTAAATACCCTCGTTACAAGATTTCCGAATTAAACCCTGAAATTCACTATAAATTATACACTGTTCGATAGAAGTGATGATAAATTAATTCTAGACGCAGTTCTTTATTGTTGAATGGTAAAGAACTGCGTCTAGAATTATTTTACTTTTCTTAGTCCTATCGTTGTTTGTTGGCTCATAACTCATTGCGATGAAATGCGTAATTACTTTCGAAAGACTCTCATATTTAGTCTAACAAATTCAGAAATACTTAAGACAATGTTTCCTAACCTTTTTATGCAACGACACACCTAAGAGCAAATGAAAATATCAAAATGTACACTTGGCAGCATTTTTAAGGGTTTTATATTTAAATGTTATGAAATAAAACCATAGATTTAAAAAATGCATACACAAATATAAACTTATTTTATTTCCATGTTTCTATTCAACTATTTGTGCAGCTTTTTAAGAATAGTGAAAAGAAGTATTTGAAAAAAAAGTTTAATTTATTCATTTATTCAAATACTAACGCTGTACCATCACTACTTCCACACACACGCACACACACACACACACACACACACACACACACACATATATATATATATATATATATATATATATATATATATAAATATGAAGAAAAAATTTGGAAAAACAAACAAAAAATCCTTAAATGCAATTATGTTGTTTAAAATGAATGAAATGTCGACGTCTGGCGTTTCGGTTTAATAAACCTTCTTCAGGACAATATTCATTAAAATACAATTCAGTTCAATTTGACAAAGACGATGGACATAAAAATTTTTTCTTCATTCTGTCGGATCTATATCCATTTATATTTGCTTACATATATATATATATATATATATATATATATATATATATATATATATATATATATATGCCATGACAATATTTCACGATACATTTAAGATGATCGAGGCACGGTGATTGAGATAGTAAGCAAACAATTTGACATTGACAATCAGGTGTGAAAGATATATTGTATTTAACAACATATGCGCTGATTTATAAAAAAGAAAAAAAAAAGAGAGCTAAAAAGACGCCCTGCGTCATATATGCAAAGTTAAAGTCTTCCGGAGGCGAGTTTTATCCACAATTATCAACAACAACGTCTGATCGAATGACCCAACAATAATTTTACATTATACAGTGACTTCTATCTAAATCGACGCCATAATTATTTACTCAAATTATTATTATTTTATTTCCTTTCGTTTCTGTTGCGTATTCATTTTTTTCCGGGTCCCGCCCAGAGACCTAAGGTCAAAAATAATCTTTGATATCATGATATTTTCCACAGAGAAATTAAACAAAAACCAACAAAAAACACATATTTTACATAGATAAAGCCCTTCGTAAGGTGTGGGCTGTGAGGACAATGTTTTGTATTTCTTTAAGGCATGGGCTGCCAAGAATTACTTCAATGAGTCTACTGGAATCTTTTCCAATCAATCCGGTGCCTCCAACTACAACAGGGGTTGTTGATGTTCTCATGTGTCACATTTCTGAGATTTCGATTTCAAGGTCCTTGTATTGTGATATCTTCTTGAAAATCTTCAAAGATACATTGCAGTCTGCAGGGACTGCCATATCAATAAAGATTCAATTTACAATATCTGAGCAATTAATTTTGATTCTTCTTCTTCTTCTTCTTCTTCTTCTTATTATTATTATTATTATTATTATTATTATTATTATTATTATCATGTTGGTGTGGCATTTACGAAATCAACGGAAATTTTCTCCTTGTGGCATGGTGCCAAAAAGACTCCTCAACCCCCACAAACATTTCAGAGAATCCTCGCAGAATAAATGATCGCAGTTAGCTGGAGCTCTTCAGTCTGGGTACCAAATCTAATTTCCTCTAAGAGCTCTTTCAATTATCTATTTGGTATTACAAGTGCACACATTTCTACAGGAATTACAACAACAGTCATGTTCCACAACCTTTTTAACTCTCAAGCCAGATCCTGGCACCTTTCTGACTTTTCTGTTTCTTTGGAGCTCCCTCTTGTATCAGGCGGATCAGCCAAACCAAGAATTTACTACAATTCTTATCTATAGAAATATGGTCAGGTCTTCGTGCTTCAAAGGCATTATATGTCTGGACCGAGAAATTCCATTATTTGGTGACTGGCATTTGTTACCATTGCCTCTGGCTGATATCCATAACTTTACTCTTCCACATTGAATCGAAATTTACGGTATACTTCTCATTTTATTCTTTTACGCGTGCAATCATGTCGTCGCTTATTTGCGTTCAAAATATTTAGATTTTGGCGTTAATAACGTTTAAATATTTAAATAAATAGGCCGCTAAACAAAATCAACCAACATACTCTTTCTTTGCTGATTTGGTACTTCCAGAGAGTATGGGGCTAACTGTCTTATCGGCTTGCTCACACATCCTGCCTTTGTTTTTTTTTCTTGTGATTCGTCTATCTTGGCCTTCATTAAATTCCTTCTAATGACACTGTGCTCCAAATAGAAGTATTGCACCCTTTATAGAACATTATTATTATTGTTGTTATTTAATTTCCTTTGATTTCTGGGGTATTCTCATTTCTTTCCGGGTTCCGACCAGAGACCTTAGGTCAGAAATGGCATCATGACATTTTCCATAGCCTTTTTGAGAATAAAATAAAGATCGCATATATTTTACATAGATAAAGCCTTTCATAAGGTGTGGGCTGCACTTGTGAGAATATTTTTTTTGTATTTCGTTAAAGTATGAACTACCAGGAATCCCTTCAATGAGTTTATTGGAACATTTTCTAATCAACCTGAGGGCTCGAATTACAATTGGAATTGTTGATATCCTCATGTGACATATTTTTTAGATTTCCACTTCAAGATCCTTGTATTTTGATAGTTTTTTGAAGATCTTCAAAGATACATTACAGTCTGTAGGGTCTACCATGTCAATAAGAAAGCACATTTTGTCTTTGCGGTCTCTAATCACGATGTCAGGTCGATTAGCTTTGATTGTTCTATGTGTATTGTAAAACGCCATAAAATTGCTATAGGTCCTTATCTCCGTAACCGGGTCTGGGTGGTGTTCATATCAATTTCACGTAGTTTCCTTTCCATAAAAGTTGCATATTTTTCAATGCAGATATTGGACCAAGCTGTCATACCGGGTTTTATATTCAGGGGATGCCAACTGTACAAGATGGTCACTTGTTTCTCGATACTTATTATAGAAACTGCAATTTGGGCTAACATGGTTTTTCAGTATAAGGGCTTGGTAATTTCTAGTTAGTAAGCATTGGTCCCGTGCAGCAAGAATAAAACCTTTGCTTTCAACTTTTAACCCTCCACTACGTAGCCACTGATAGGTACGGGGTTTGGTTATATCAGCTTGTTTAGTACGGGCGGATTATTGACCATGAAGCCGTTTATCTTGTCATCGTCTCTGTATCTGGCCGTTTTCATTTGCCTTTCCTTCCTTCCTTCCTTCCTTCCTTCCTTCCTTCCTTCCTTCCTTCCTTCCTTCCTTCATTTCTTTCTTTCTTCCTTCGTTCCTTTGTTCCTTTCTTTCTTTCTTTCTTCCTTTCTTCCTTCCTTCCTTTCTTTCTTTCTTTCTTTCTTTCTTTCTTTCTTTCTTTCTTGTTCTTTTTCACCGTTTCTTTCTTTCTTTCTTTCTTTCTTTCTTTCTTTCTTTCTTTCTTTCTTTCTTTCTTTTTCTTCTTCTTCTTCTTTCCTTTCGTTTCTGTTGTATAAACATTTTCTTTCCGGATTCCAACCAGAGATCTAAGTTTAGAAATAGCTTAATGACACCTTCTACTGATAATTTAAGATCACACCGATTTTGCATAGTTCTTCGTAATGCATGAACTGTACTTGTGAGTACAATGTTTTGTATTTCTTTAAGGAACGAGCAACCATGAATCCCTTCAATTAGCCTATCGGACCCTTTTCCAATAAATCCGAGAGCTCCAACTACAACCGGAACTACTGAAGTCCACATGTGCCACATTTTTTAGATCTCCATTTCAAGATCCTTGTATTTTGATAGTTTTTTTGGAGATCTTCAAAGATACATTGTAACCTGCTGGGACTGCCTGACAAGTCCCTGCAGATCACCCAGACATCGTGATCAAAGACCACAAAAACAGAATGTGCTTTCTTATTGACAAGAAAGCACATTCTGTTTTTGTAGTCTTTGATCACGATGTCTGGGTGATTAGATTTGATTGTTCTGCCCGTGTGTATTGTAAAGTCCAGTAAAATATTTATAGGTCTTATTTCTCTAGTCAGATCTGGGTGATGTTCTTACCAGTTTTTTTCAGTTTCTTTCTCGGAAAAAATTGCTCTAAACATTACATATTTAAATATATTCAAATTTGTTACTCCCCAACATGCCCTGTTAAAATAAAAGTGCCTCTAATATATGAGCCCGAGTGCTCGAATTACAATTGGAATTGTTGATTCGTAACAAAAAATAAATTCGACATTGTTAAGACAGGTGTTCTCCATAACCAAATCGGTCAAGGTGAGGTTATTGCCAGACGGGCTCGAGCGAATATAGGATAGGAGATGCTATGTTTTTTTTTTATTACCGAGTCATGCTCTTCGTTTTTTAAAAGGGTGGAAGATAATGACTTGAAAGCTTTGATAAAAAGCAACAAAAAAAGATAAAAGAAAATGCAGACAAAAAATAATAATAATAATGAAAGGCTATTGATTCAAGCAACTTTGTAATTAGGCAGTTGTTTTTTGCTAATTAGCATCAATTAGAAGAATAATTATTCGTTTGTTAATTGTCGTCGCATGTCAAAAGGTAGGAATTGTTTGCTCTAAATTGATGACTATTCTCTTATTGTTTTTGCTTTCGTCATTTTCTAAGTCATTGTAAATGTCCAAATAGTGTATGTCAATAGTAACGCTAAAAAGGAAAAATCCCTTGCAGTCAAAGATAATAAAAGTGACCATTTAGTCGTAAAATATATGGAGATAGGTCTTTAATAGGCTTGATTAATACTAGCACAAGGCCAGATTAACTGAGCTCGGAGAGACGATATAACTAGTTACACTAAAGAAGAGTCTGCGTGATCAGCATTTTAACCACCACTCTACGACAGGGTCAACAATCTATCTATCTATCTATCTATCTATCTATCTGAAAGGAGGATATATATCACGTGGGGTAATGGACAGTGGCTCGTGTTGAGGAATCAGAGAGCTGAATTCTAATTCTAATCGGATCAATTATATTTCAATTACGTGCTTATACCCCCGGAAAAGGTATAAATCCTATTCATCTCCCCAAGGTATGGGTAAAATAGCAGGAAAGACTGGGTTTTAAAGCCCTGGGTGGCAACGTGTCTAGGAGAAGGAACCTCTGAAATCAATTATTGGTCAGAGTTGAATTAGACCAGGAGACAGACGTATTAAAAAGTGCTCAATACTCGTATAAATAAATAAAAAAAAAAATTAATATGCGGAGCTTTTAAATTAAAAAAAAAATTAGATCAGCCGATCACATTACCTTGGTTTCAACCAGGCGCTCCTGCTTAAATAATTTCCTAACACTTTATTATTTAAAAATAAATAAATAAACGCACAACGCGAAGCGTAATAGAAGGGACGAGAAAAGCAAAGGTACTGAAATTGTATATATATATATATATATATATATATAGTTAATCATTTCAACCCAAGGAAAGTGGGAGTACCACTAGTATGCAGGGGGCTACAGCGAGAAAAGACCCATTATAAGGTGACTAAGGAAAGGATAAAAGATGAACGGGGTTCAATTCAACAGAAGATGGCGATTGACGTTGCATTTAAATTTTTGAAGATTGTAGTTATCAGGGAAGCAAGTAAAATTCATGTAGTCGGGGCAACAAGGTAAAAAGCTCGTCAGAGCAGTTGCCATGAAAATATTTGTAGAAAAGACAGAGGGAAGCCACATCATGTCTGTGAGCAGCATGACGCAATTCACTCCGCCATAAATTAGAAAAATTTAGAAACGTCATGCTGTACTGCTTGGCATTCGCGCCAGAAGCTCCAATATGAACATTTCAGAGTGTTTGATTGTCAATCTGAGGAAAGAGTCTCTTTAGTATTTCAAGATATTTGTGTGTAATTTTGTTAATTTTGGTAAATATAGCTGTTAAAATGAGATGTCAGTGTTATTTTCATTTTTGCGTAATTTAGACGGCAATTTATCCATCATACATACTCTCTCTCTCTGTCTGTCTGTCTGTCTGTCTGTCTGTCTGTCTCTCTCTCTCTCTCTCTCTCTCTCTATATATATATATATATATATATATATATATATATATTTAGTTTATGAAAAACTAGGTAATCCGTATGGGTAAACCCAAGGAGGATAAAATCCAGAGAGCTCAATGTAAATCCAGAGCAAATAATTTAAATAAAAACAGACCACTTTAAGGTTCCATGTAATAAATTATTTCACCACAGCCCTTTTAAAGGACTGAGGATCATCAGACTATACTTCCAAAGGTTGAATTTATTACATGGAACCTTAAAGTGGTCTGTTTTTTTAAAAATATATATATATATATATATATATATATATATATATATATATATATATATATATATATATACGTATGTGTATGTGTGAATGATTAGAATGAATGAAAGTTTTGATGTATTTGCTTAAAAAAATCATCCCTGTGATATTACGAGCTACATCAATAGCTACTAAATAAATAAATAAAGTCTATGCAGTTATAAAAGCTAGGAAAACGAAGAAAAAAGACAGAAAGAAGAGACGAATTGACAAAGAAAAGATGAAAGAATGTAGAAATGGAGGGAGAATGAGTAGAAATAAAGAAAAAAGATAATGTTGAAAGGGAGAGAAAGAAAACGCCCACCATGTTTGCTGTCAGGAAGCGCGCAGTTCCGTCGCGTACCCTCTAATTAAAGCATTACCCACTCTTTAAGTCTGCCCTTTCATCACCCGACCCCCAACAAAATAAAGGGTGTTGTCCATGAGACCACCAGATGAGACGGAAGGAAAAAATAAATAAATAAATGCCGGAAACAAGAAGCCGTCTGCCAGGAAAACGGGATACCACTTCTCCTCCTTTTTCTCCGCCCTAAATTTAAGAAACAATTTTCCGCCATTGTTCCTGTTGTCGTTTGTGCTGCGAGGGGTTGTACACACTATTATTTACTTGAAGTCGTTGTAATGATGGAAGCTGTATAAAGGTTTATACCGCACAGATTTTACAAGATAGAGAGCGCGAAGAGAGAAGGTGAAATTTGGTCTTGCTTAGAAATCAGATTTCTGTCTTGAATGGTCGTTTGGAATTCTGGGTGGCGGCGAGAAACGGGTAGCAATCATATGGTTGGGATTTCAATGAATGATACCGGAGGAATTGTTTAGATTACGAGAACTGAATTATTTCACGATAATTTTTCAGTAATATATATATATATATATATATATATATATATATATATATATATATTTCCCTGATAGCTATAATCTCCAACTATTCAAATGTAATGTCAATCGACGTCTCCAGATGCCTTGATCTATCCCTTATCCTTCTCTTCATCCTTTCCTCTATCACTCCTATTTGGACTCACTCAAATTCTCTGTAACCCCTTGCGTGTTAGTGGCTTCCCGCCTTGCTTGGAGTGAAACGCTGACAAAAAAAAATAGATAGATAGATAGATGTACAAAAAAAAAAGAAAAAAAAGCCTGGAATACTTTTTGATAGCTGCTTGTGGGTGTAACTTAAAGAAACAATGTTATAAGGCCAGTCTGTCTATCTATCTATCTATCTATCTATCTATCTATCTATCTATCTATCTATCTATCTATCTAATTCAGTATCAAGAAACAATGTTATAAGGCCAGTATCTATCTATCTATCTATCTATCTATAGGATATTATTCGAACATATGTAACCGTTACATCAATGCATCCATGTTTCGATGCCCATCAATTGCATCTCATCAGGCGGTGGTAAGTAAAAATTATTACAATTTTAAATATTTAAATAAATAAAAAATATTAAAAATTGTAATAACTTTTACTTACCACCGCCTGATGAGATGCTATTGATGGGCATCGAAACATGGATGCATTGATGTAACGGTTACATATGTTCGAATGTAATTTCCTATAATAAAGACTTATCGCTCTGCTATTGTATCGAGACCTATTTTTATATTAATGTTGTGAACGTTTGAATTTATATTTAATTCGTTCTCATTCTATCTATCTATCTATCTATCTATCTATCTATCTATCTATCTATCTATCTATCTATCTATCTATCTGTGTCAGTCTGTCCGTATCTATCTATCTATCTATCTATCTATCTATCTATCTATCTATCTATCTATCTATTTCTGTGTCATATAATGCCTCCATTATTTCACAAAAGTGTCTATATCTCCCGGATTTTATATGAAATTGATGTTTATCCACATGGCGTAGATTACAGTTACTTGAACACAGCCTAATGCCGTAATATGGTAATATTAAATGTAATTGGAATGGGTCTAATGTTTACGTTTAGACTTACATACAAACCCGATCAACATTTACCTATAAGACTCGAGCATATGTCCAAGGAGTGTTTGCTTATAGTCTCAACTGTAAAGCCATTCATTGTTTACATATAAACTCAAGTATAAGCCCGTCTATTATTTACTTATCAACTCAAGGTTTGCGACCACATCACTGTTGAAACCCGGTTCCCGTTCGATCATAGAGGTTAAGCAACGCCGAGTCTGGTCAGTACCTAGTGGGTGACCTCTTCGTAATACCAGTTGCTGCAAGCTTGAATGTTCGGGTGGTGCAATGGATAATGGCTCGGAATTATTAATCGGAGAGCTGAGTTCTAATTCCACTTGGGTCCGTTATATTCACTTACGCGCGAATACACTTGGTAAAGGTATGAATCCCGCCATTCCCTCCCAGTTATGGGTTAATTATTAAATCATTATTACCCCCCCCCACCCGAAATCTTACAAAAAAAAAATTGTCTGCAAATGGTTAATAAGCCGTAGAAAATGATTGAATAAATCAATCATATGAACTGAAATATAATAAAGATTGTTTTTCTATATTAAATAATTTAATTTTATTCTTTTGGATCTTGTGTTTCGTTTAACCATCGAGTCTTCCATGGCTGAAATGATTAAGACGATATCCATGTAAAACAAATGCACAGAAATTTGTTATGTTACCTTAATTCTTGTCGGAAACCACTTTCTTATTTCTAACTTTCGCGCTGTTTGAAGACACATCACAGGCTTATATAGCAGGACATACAGGGATATTCTGACTTGGGCGGCAGCCTGCCTAGAAGAAAGATTAACTAAAAAATATATTTCTTCTTTATCCAGGGTTTGCTTTAAAAAAATCGACGAATGTCTGAGCTTGTAATCTTAACACTACTGGAACTCAGAATGGGCTCAGAAATTCAATATCTATCACCCCACACCAGAACATCACACCAAGTCCGCAATTTTTTAACTAACTTTCTCCCATTGCTAGGCTCCATAGAATGGAACTTTTTTTTTTTACTTTTGGAACACGAGGGAAATGGGGATAATTCGATTCCGTGGAAGTGTCCAGGTTTTAACGTTTCGAGCTGATTTAACGAAAGAATGGAGCTCATTTGAACATTTGCCATGAAAATAGCGAGATAGAGTCGTAACCCGTGAGAGATGTTTTTGTTAGTCGTTCTATTCTTCTGGCCTATCGACTGTAAAAAAACCGGGTTTTTCATGAAAAAAAGAGAGAAGAGAGAAAAGAAAAAAAAAAAGAATGGTTAAGTAGCCAGCCTTTCTTTTGCTCATTTCTTTTAAGGGGAGCCCAGTGATCAACTCCACGTGTTTTGTCACATGATTTAGGACCTTTTAGAACACTTTTTCGCAGTCGCAACACCTAACGTTTTTAAAGACACAGATCGACAAGATAATATTCTCAGCTTGCCTTTATCAGACATTTTTCTTTTAAGCATATCACCCCAAGCAAGACGGGAATGCCACTATCACGCAGAGAGTAAGAGCAAGAGTAAAGAGGGGTGTTTGATGAAAAGGATAAAGAGAAGGACAGGGATCAAGATCAAGGCATCAGAATATGTCGTTTTTATAATTTTGAATATTTTGGAAGATCTTAGCTATCGTTCAGTGGAAAACTTATTTGCTTATGACATAAATCTTCTAATATTAAAATGTAATGTTTGGACATCTGTTGATGTCTTGATCTTGAGATGTCATTTCTTTATTCTTTCCTCAAATGCCCCTTTTATTCTTATTTTCTTTCATGTTATAACCCGTTGCGTGCTAGTGGCACTCCCACCTTGCCTGGGGTGATATGCTTAAAAATAAATTGAATATCACTCTAGAACACCCAAACTTTACAGTCTCCCCAAAACCGCACAGAATATACATCTCAATGCGACATATTCTTTCACGTATAGATAACGATCCCTACAAACTGGCGAAAGTCCTAACATTTGACCCCTCAACTTGGAACAATCAGCCCATCACATAAAAAATTCAGGCAACCTAGTTGAAAAACTACGAAGAACAGATATATCTGACAAACCCATGGCCAATTTAGATATAAAATCACTTTACACTAACGTCCCGATTAAAAAAATGCTTATGAAAAAAAAAAAAATTAGATTTACCAAAGGCATCGCACCGAAGTGGAGTGAAGGCATTTATCTTAGAATTTCTCGAATCTGGTCCTTTCCACAATATTTTGTTCTTAAAGATATATTTCACCGTCAGGAGAAATTGATGATATATCACTGGCACTGGGATATTTTCCCCTCGAACATATACAGCCCTGCTTCTCTTAAGGGTAGGATCAAGGGAAGCTATAGGTACGGTATTTACCTATCCTAAGACGTTACAAATGGTAAGACACACCCTATAATTGGTTAGGTATGTTTTTTGAAAAACAAATTAATAGCTTACCGTACTAATAAGTCCACGTCGTCGAATCTACAGATTCATTTTTCGTTCTGTCAACAAATCATCACATTTTGAATCTATTGTTAAATATTTGTGGTTGTTATGAATTAGATATTCAATAGTTTAGCACAATGTTAGACCTATTCACATTCGAAACGACTTGGACTTGCTACCAGAAGTCACAATGCGTTTCAACCCACGACATATTTACATCGACCTTAGTGCCCAGACGCAGGGTGATTTTAGAGGCATGTTTTTCTTAGCATACGGGAAATACGGCAATTATTTTTCGAATGAAATAAAACTTTGTGTCCTTTTTCTACATCATATAAAGATATAGAGGTGTCATTAAAATATGCAAAAAATATGACGTAAAAAGAACATTCTAACATATCAAATTTTCGTTTTCGTGTCCATCTCTCGCATCGGCATCTCTCCTTCGTTATATTGCAGTAACTTTTGCCCTTGAGTGGCCCTTGTATATGGTGAACGTTAATAAATTAAATATTCTCTCAAATTGGGCTAAATCCTAGATTTACTTCTAAGAATATATGTATGATATATGCAGAAGGGACTCCAACAGTCAGATTACGGGGGATCAACCCGATTAACCTAGCTGTAAAATCTATCTATTCAAAGCAAAAAAAATATCTCGGATCACATTGTTCATCTTTGACTTTGTATGGACCCAAAGTCTTGATTCGAACCACCAAGAAGAAAATTTCGAATTTATACTTTTTTAACTTCATACTTTAAGATGCTGACTGTTGTAACCTAGGGAAGGTTACTGAATAGAATAATCACAAGAAGGTTGGTAATGAACGATAATACTTAGGACAAGAACAACGCATATAAGATTCGCCAGAAGTGAGTCAAGTGAATTCCACAATCTACCAACCGTCCCACGCTGTCAGATGTGACACAAGGTCGAATATAATGTGGGGTATCCGAGACTGTAAGCTCGGCCAAATATCCCCGTATAAAATAGAGTCGAATAGCTGTTTCCCGACACGAGACTCTGCCCTTCCACATAGCTTCGTCTGGGGATCCTCTCTGCCAGAAGGCAAAGAGTTTGACCAGCATAGCTGTAGACGAATCCCCAACTGCAGGATATCTACCAACCGCCTCACGTGATCAGACGTGGCACAAGCCCGAATTTAATGTGGGGTATCCGAGCCCCTAGACTCGGCCAAAAATTCTCCGTAGACCCCGTATAAAACGGAGTCGGGTAACTGTTTCCCGAGACGAGACTCTGCTCTTCTACATAGCCTCGTCTAGAGATCCTCTCTTTCCGGAGGCAACGAGTTTGACCAGCACAGTTGGAGACGAATCTCTAACTGCAGACCAACATACAGTATTTACTACTGTATTCATGTGAATGGGGACATATCCATTATCGTCCGTACGTATACTACAAAACTGACTTAAATAAAATTTTGCTGACATTATTCATAAGAATTACATGAAGAAAATTGAACTCATCTTTATTGACTAAGGCATGTAATTTTGGACTCAAACATTTATCTCAACAAAACAAATGAATTGTTCTTTATAACCTGACTCAGGCATATTGTGTTCGTTATACTAACTTACGCTCAAATACTTTTGGGAAAAATATGATCCCACTTCTATCCATATTCAGATATGATTTAATTAATAAGACTTGTATGACAAACCTACCACGGGAAAAAAATCTGCCTCGTCTGTCATGATCGCCTAAGTGTGTTTTATTTTCTGGAAACAAAGTGTGTAAAACTATCCAAAAGTCATTATAAAGGACGGGTTTTATTTTTTAAATTTAAGTTTTAACTGAATGTGTGTTTTTTTTAATGTATGTACTTGGAATTATAGGGTTGTTTTAATTTCTAAACACGGTCAGCACATTGTGGCCGTTTTCCTAGTAAATGTTAGCTTTTCCTTTTTTTATTATTAGGGTTTCAATTATTTTTAACCTTTTTGTACATGTGGATTTTCTACTAGCCTTTTTCGGGTGGAGTTTTTATAGGTTTTCGTGTGTGTTTAAATGAGTCCTAATTGAGCTATGCTGGGGTAGATGTAACGGGCGTTCGTCAAGATAGGCATGGATTATTAGTACCCAGAAAAGAAAACACTTATACGAACACAAGAAAATTTAAATAAAAAGATTAATTGTAGTACCTTGTCAGTCGTCTATAACGAAAACACACACACACACACACACACACACATATATATATATATATATATATATATATGAGAATTTCTCTGGTTTAATATCTTTGAAGAAGCCGAGACCCATGTTATAAAATTAATAATCCCGAAAATTTATTTGTTAGCTTTTACGATGGAGGTTCAATTTGAATTATACGCTCATGCGAAAAAAGTACCTGACTTTCAGTCCAATGTCTTTTTCCTGTCCGTTTTTAAAATCCCCCGTCTCCTACCACAGCTATAGGCTAAATAGTAGGGTATGTATATGGAAAATCATTGTTATTCTCAAATAATTATTCTTATAATCCAAAACAATTTCCAGCTTTAAATTCACCAGTAAAGGTTGATAATCTGTAAAAAACAAATAAATTTAAAATACTCACGACTCACATGCAAGTCAGAAACTGGAATTAAACTTAAGGTTCATTTTAGTATAAGCGTATAAGAGTATAAGGGGACTTCCTTCGTAATAATATAAAAGTTTTCTGTTTTTGATTTTTTTAAAAATAAAATGTATGGATCTTGGCTGTTTAAAAAATAATAATTTGAAGGAATTTATTTTTAAAAAATTAGATTTTATTTCGGACCTATTTTAGTGAGAGGCTAAAATTTTTCTTATAACTTAAATTATATACGCTAGTAGTACTGGTGACAATT